CGCACACGGATCTTCACAGTGGCTGAGCCATTTGCTGCGGCCACAGTGGGTTGTGAAATGTTGAACTGCATGAGGCCTCATCTGCTACGTTAAGCGGAGGCTAACGCGTCGTCGGCCGATGCGATTAATTCGTCTGCAGTCGGCAGAAACCCTTCAACGGACCACAGTTGCATTGGAGGGGATAAAGTGAGGCAACTCATAGCAACTCAGCTCGTTCCCCGGTGTACTATATCCGGTGCGCTTAAGACTACAACTACCTGCTACTGGTCGAAGTTTAAAGATTGTCATTTAACAACACATCTGCTTCCTCCCCTGGAATTAGGGTGGAACTGCAGTGGCCCCTCTCACACATATTTACTGTCAAGGTGGCATGCGTTAAGCTGTTGTTCTACCCCACTAACTGTTAAATGACCACAGCACAGCCGGCGGCTTTTCAATTAATTAACTACTTATATCCACCCTTGGAACGAGGGTTAGGCACCAACTAACTGTCGATACCCACCTATATGAGCTCTCATGCATAGGAAGCTGGATATGAGGTCTGGTGTGACCTGCGTAGTTGAACTGTATGGGGTAAGGTGCTCATCTGCAGCCGCCTTTACTTCACATTTGTACTTAAGGTATAGTGGAGTGACGATGGTGAGAGTTAGGTTAGTTTTTTTCTGCGCCCAAGGGGAGTACTTGACTTCATCGCTTGCAAAGGTGCAATTTTATTATAATACCAAAGGGAGAATTGCCCCGGTCAGTATGCTTGCATCCCACGACAACAGGTGTTGCAATTGTCGACAGCCAGCCAGAGTTTCATCGCGTGCTGCATCTGCTGTTACTGCCACCGGCAACCATGTCTGAAACCTACCGAACGGCGAGAAGGTCTATGCCTCTAATAGCATCTTTGACCTGCCATCATCTGGTACGGGTAGGTTAGGGAGCATCGATGGCCGACTGAAGGGTGATCAGTTATGTGAACAAATTCAACTCACTACACCGCCTGAATCATACTCACGGATGTTGCATATATTTCTAAGTTGCTCAGCTGCCAGCATTCCCGATATTTAGGTTTGAGCTACCACCCCTTCTTTCCGCGCATACCTATTTCACAAATCGAC